CCCCCCCTCCCCCAGGTAACTGTTATGCTTGGCCGGTTACAGGAAGTGTACTGACGGCTACTAATAAAACTAGATGGGGGGGGGGATTTGGGGGGCAAAGTGCAGCACTTGTGACGCTGTCCTGTGTGATGAACGCACCGCGCATTCACAGAGCATTGCGTTCCTATTCCTTTCAATGGCACCCAGAAACGCACCTCCTGCCCGCAACGCGCTCACTTGCCCCTCAATACTGCGCGGTGCAATTCTACTGTTTTAATTGCCCGTCACCACAACGCATGATACGTGACCGGCGATGCAACGCACCTCCCCCACTGATAATCCACGATGGGTGCGTTGTGCGGAAACGCATTTCCCTAAATCATTCCTTATATCCCAGACCGGCCACCACCAACTCCAGCAGAGATCACACCCGTGTCCGGGAAGAACCACAAGTCCCAGCAGTCCCAGCGTCCTGATAACATTAGAGAACCAATATGGAATTAGAAGTCCCAGTAGTCACAGCATCTACATGGAGTGCACACAGAGAACTACAAGTCCCAGCAGCCCCCCCCCTCCCCCCAATAAACTCTGAACACCATTCCTGTCTGTTACATTGTATCTGCAGCTAAGCAATCAGGGAGCTGAGCCCAAATCCCCCCATCCCCCCTCCCCTGGGGTGTCCGTCTCCGTCCCAGTACAGGATACAATGCATGCAGAGCTCCCGGGGGGCGGAGCTTGGAGCGGTGACTACAACACACACAGGGACCATGGGGAACAGACGTAGCCCCCCTCCAGAAGGAAGGACAGTGTCAGAGATGATTGGAGGATCTCCAGCCGAGTGACACACAAATAAGATACATTGCTGCTCGGAGTTCGGGGACACGGAGGGAGTATCTCCGGATCTGTCACACACTTGGTGGCCGTCGGATGTCTCAGGTAGGGTTGTCACCTGTCCATGATTCCTCCGGACAGTCCGGGTTTTGAATCCTGTGTCCGGGTTCCATGGCAGCAGAAACCCGGACACAAGATGTCAGGCAGACGGGGGGCAACCAAAATGAAGATCGGGGCCACTGCCCCCCCCCC